TATTAATTATACTGTAACAATGAAGGGATTAGAAGACCAATTGTTAAGTGTTATTGTGAAATCAGAACGATGTGAGTTGGAGGAACAAAGGGAATCTTTAATTAGAGAGACAAGGTGAGTTATTCCTTTGATGTTAATATAGTGAATAATGTTATGATGGTGTATAGTTGTCTTTGTATGCATAGAATCTCAAAGCTGAATTCCTCAATGTATAGTGCATAGAGCCGCTGCAATAGTCACCGTTCATGCCAAGTTAACATTTACTCTAAGGAGCTATGCCAAATGATCTAGGCAATACAACTCTAAGAGTTGATTTCCTATTGAGTAACTATTTATCATGACTGGGATGTATTCAGTTCATATTTTGAGTTTGGAGAACTAATGTGATGACTGAAATTCAAATGAAATCCTTAGTCATATGAGAATTGGAAATTAAGACTTCTGAATCACTGGTTAGCCTCGATAAAGTAATGGGACTGTAATTCAAGGTCTACTTACTTAAACTCTTCTGTGACCCAAGTTCCAGTCATTCAACTTAGGTCATTATTTTTTTAATTATTATTAATCACAAAGGCTCCGAGTGGAACACAGACCGTCAACAGCACATACCCATTTCATCTTGATTTGTGCAGTTCTCATCAGCTGGTTCCACGGTTGCCTATAAGCTCTCATCTCCTTCTGCCACGATTTCCTCGACATCACTCTCGGGCTCTTGTCTTGTTTCTCCAGCCAATGTTAGCTTTGATATCCTCGTTCGTGCCTGCTGTAGTTGAAACAATGCTTCCTAGATAGATAAGAGTTGTGACCCCTTTCAAATTTCTTCCTCTAGTAATGTTGGCGCTTGATGTTGTTGGCTGGTTATCTTCATCACCCCTGTCTTCTCAATGTTCACTTAGAGTCTTGTCTCCGCTACATACCTCTTCTAACACCTTGTTGGTTTTTGCCTACAAGTCTTCGGGTTTGTGTGGCATGCGACATGAATCATCTGAGAAGACCAGATATTCTAGAGTCTTCTTATCGGTCGTCCAGCGTATTCTTGTCTCTTAGCTCCCTACAGTCTGGCGCATAATCCAGTCCACCACAATTAGGAATATCATCGGTGATAATAGGCAGCCAGCCTTGTCTTACTCCTGTATGTACTTCAAACACCTCCCTGAGTTTTCCGCTGTGGATCACTTGACATGTGGCATTGTTATGTAGCTGTTGAGTGAGATTGATAAAGATTTCGGGCACTTCACTCCATGTTGTTGAACTAGTTTCCAGGTTACTTCGCGGTCAATGCTGTCGAAGTGGATGAAGTCGATATAGAGATTTGACTGCCATTCTATGTTCTGTTCGATGAACAGAGTTGCAATTAAATCAGCACATAGTTAGCTTTCCTTGAATCCAGCTTGTTCTGGGTGGATTTTTGCATCCAGACCATCCCTTACTATTTCTAGGATGATACGACTTGATCTTTTGCTTGGTGTCGACAAGAGTACGTTTCCCCAAATGTTCTTTTAAAGGCCTCATTCACCCTTCTTAGGTATGACAGCCTTTTCTTCCAATCAATAGATACTTTTCCTTCCTTCCAAAATTTCTGCGACGTTATCTGCTGATGTCTGTGTATCGGTTTTCAGTGTTTTTCAGGCGAAATTCTATGCGTTCTAGCTGCGCCTCCCTGAGTTTCAGTAACTTAGGCCATTACTCAATCTATAATGAACAAATGCAAAATCAGAAAATCGTGTGAACAGTCAATGTACAATATCTTATAGTCAATGTCATGCCAAAATTATAAGCCAAATGGATTTTTTTCACTATTCGTTACAACTTTGTCTGAACCTTGCTTTATTGTTTCAAAGTGATTGAATAGACAGATGGAAGTACAAGGATAGTTGTGATCGGAAACACTATGATGACTTACGTCTTAAAATCTGCAAAGACTGGTTTCACAAACTGCGTTTCCTATGACAGTTGTCCATCTTTTCAGAATGATGGCAGTTTTTTTCTGAAAATAGTCCGAAGACTGTTAATAACAAAAAAAAGGATATTCAAATTAATTCATTTCGAGATGACTTTAACCTGATATATTTAGAGTATCGATCTGTATACAAAGATTTATGTTATGTATTAGAATATTCTTTGCTTTCTTTCGAATCAGTCTTACTTTTACTAATAGACCACTTCCATGCAGACTGGATAGTACCGTTATAGCAAGCATCCCCGCCATATCATTCGTTAAATGCATGTAACTTCATTGACAGACTTATCTGTCTTACCTCAGACTCTACGCCTAATCCTTCACATGGTGTCCACGTCTGCCCTAAATTCTTTGTAGGTCTCTAGTTTATATGAAAAGCAGCAGAAAATAACTCAAAGTATCTTCTTTGTCTTCAATCACTTTTATCAGATTATCTAAATTATACTTTCCGTCTTTTTCCTATTCACTCTTACTAATATGACAGTCAAAATAAAAAACTTCTCAAAGATTTAGAAGACAGTCTTCTACGTGAATTGGCTACAAGTACAGGCAATATGCTGGATAATGTTGAATTGGTCGATACACTGGAAGAAACTAAATTAAAAGCAAAAGAAGTCACTGAAAAGTTAGAATTAGGCGCTAAAACTGCAATCGATATTGATATCCTACGTGATGGTTATCGTCCAGCTGCTAAACATGGCGCTATACTCTTCTTTGTTTTATCCGATATGTCATCTGTGAATTCAATGTATCAATACTCGCTGACTGCATATCTCGACGTCTTTCAAATTTCTTTACACAAAAGTATGCCTGATGTTGTATTACAGAAACGTCTTAAAAATATCATTAATAAACTTACATATAATGTGTATACCTATGGATGTACAGGTAAGTGATGTTTCTTTGTGAGAATACAACTGTTCATTACATTGTTTGTTTGTTTTTGTATTTGAAAATCTGTTTAAAACTAAGTGTTTATGCTTTTTTAAGAGGTATTAGACTGATGGATTTCATACAAACCCAGATCGTTTTGATTGCACACTGGTCAGTAACCAGTGTAATGTGTAAGTCTAGTCCTATCTTCGGTGCAGATTGAATTCCATCAGTCAAGCTTACGATGTGGCCACCATGCCAGGTGGCTCGCCGTTACGGCGACGCAGGTTCGAATCTCAGAAAGGACATGAGTTTCTTCGAAGTTGCAGATACACCTTGCTGATGAGTGTCAACTAGCACGAAACCTAGCTTCAGCCAAGGCTTCCTGTGGCCGATTGCCTCCAACCATCTAATAAACGCAGATCTATAACCTTTTATCCCTTCTTAGCTAGTCATTGACTCAAACATAACTACAGTACTTGCTTCATAATATGAACGGTATTTTGGTACTCTGGTAGGGCGTATTTCCATAACAGACTAAATTATTTGGTCTTACATATTTTAGTTTTGGGTGTTACAATATTCCTATTCGTGTAGATTCGATGAACGACAATTTTGCTTAGTGGAAAGAAAGGTTGATCACTGAATTTACACCAAACGCATACAATAGGAATGATGTAACATTGATACTAGAAACACGGAATGCATCGGGTAGTCCTCTGTTGCGTCATGAACCTACATTTTTTGAAGAGTCCCAAAACAGGACAAAACATCAATCCAGTTCTAACGATGAAAACTGTCTTGAAGTCACTTGACTTCTGGCAAATAGTTCAACTTTAATTGCTTACATGTTTCACTTTTACGCTTTTGAAAACTTCTATTCAATAGCTGCGAAAGACTGTTGATCTTAATTCTGTCACAACCTAGAATTTCGTTTCAACCTCAGTGTTCAATGCATTTCGATGAAATGCTAGTCTGATAAATGAAGCCTGTATCAAAGAATTAAAGCTAAAAAGCAAAATTTGGAGGTAGTAACTTCTTTCACTTATCTGGGTAGAGTTGTTTCAGCCCAGGCGGCACGGATGAACATATCAGAGTGAGAAAGGATAGAAAAAGCAATACATACCTTCATCAACCCCAGATTAGTGTGGAGATTTGCTTCAGCATAAGGAATACGATTCGGATTTATAATAATAATGCCAAGTTAGCGGTTCCATGTGGGTCAGAGACTCGGTGGAGGAGTTAAGAAAAGCATTCCTATAAGGCTGTGTAGACTTTTGCTACATACCGAAGATCAGATATCTAGAAAGGATTGACAACAAAGACCTCTGGCAATTAACCACGAACCTGTTGCGTAACAAATATGCCACAAGAAATGGAGATGGACTAGACGCAAGCTGGGAAGACCATTGAATAACATCTCGCACCAGGCCGTTGAATGGAAACCGAATGAGAAATAGAGAGTTGAGCGTCGAGCCAGCTAAAGATGGCTTCAGATAACAGGATGAAGTGGTGATGATCTGTTAAAGCCCAGTGCTTGACTTGGACTCATAAGGAATGATACTAATAATAGTAATATTAGTAATAATCAAACAATCTCACCAACAGTTACTGTTTCTATTGAATTTTTAGATTTTCCCGTCGATTGATTGGACTGAAGTGCTCGGTCTCAGATTGACATGTCGGCTTCTTGTGCAGATTCTTGACGATGTCTGGGCATGTAATTAGAGGTTAGATCACTTGGGCCATCGCCTTCTCATGGCCCAAGTGGTCTAGTGTATAACGCTTTGACTTTTGAAACTATGGGCACTGGGTTCGAGCCTCGGTGGGAACATCAACACTCACTGACTAGGAATGCAGGTACAACCAGATGACAAGTCCCAAATGGAACGAAATGCGCATCCTGGTGGATTCCACTGCTAGTCACCCTCCACCAATTAGCTACTGTTTTTCTTTAATTGAAGTTAATGTAAACTAGAACAAGGAAGGTGGATTAGTTAACTAGTTTAATTGTGATGACAATTAGGACAATAGATGCTGCTGTGACTACCAGTCATCCACTTTGTAGATGAATAAAATTCTTGGTAATATTGAAATAAGAATCTCCCCCAAGTTGACTTTACCTTTTCCTTCATTTTTGTTTTTTTGTTTTGTTTTAATTATACAGGTATATTTGAAAAGCATAAACTTTTATTCAGTTTTCAAATCACTAGTAAATTAGAATTGAATAAAGGCAATGTAAGCGCAGGACAAATGGATTTCTTTATTAAAGGTAATATATCTATAGAGAAAGCAAAACTTACTAATCCACTACCTGATTGGTTACCTGATTCCAGTTGGAAAGATCTTTGTCAATTGATTGAACTATTTCCAGAACAATTTGCATCATTATCTGATGATTTAGTGAAAATGAATAAACAATGGAAGAGTGTAAGTGGTTAATTATTGCATTCATTTGCTTATATCTCAGAAAAAGATTTTTTTAAAAGCAATTTTAAGCAAACGCTTCTGGTTTCTAAATGTTGAGTCTGTAGAAATTTTGAATGTAACTATCTAATGTAATTGAAGAGTTATTCGTTGACGTTGGCTGTCACGAATTCATATTAGAACATCGAATGCCAGATGATGTTTCAACTTACATAGCAAAACGAGATAATTCAGAGGACCATTGAAAACAACAAAGTAATGGATGAATGTTTCGTCCCTGCTTGACACTCTTCAGCACTCATGACTCTAAATAGGATCGGATTCAGGACCTTCCGGTTACAAGGCTGTTAACATTCTATTGTTGTTCATAATCATATCAATTATAACGACACAATTTTGAAGTTCTCCTTTTATAGTTTTCTTTATTCTTTCCTATTCGTCATAACGGTAGTAAGAATTTTCCAGATATCCAGGACAGTTGTTGAATCATTCCTACTGCATGTACTCCCAGCTGATTCAACAAGTAAGGCTTCAGTTATCAACCTCTTTCTCCACCGCGTTATGTCAGATTTTAAGACTGTAATTTTATCTCACTCAATTGTATGGTTGTGTGTAATTTCATGTTGTGCTATATCTGAGCTATTCCCCATATTTCTTATTTTATTGCAGTCAATTAATCTAGGTTTATTAAGGTTTTTGTGCTCCGCTAATCTGAATAACCCCCTTCTACTACACTGACCTATGTATTCGACCTGAATGTCATTGCAGCGTATTTGATAAGGTAATAAAACGGGGTCATTCAGACTAGAGGAGCACAGATTAATATGGAATCAGATGTTCAATTATTACACTTCTTATAGCCTCACTTCCACCTCTTAATAACTATGCTGTTGGTACTGTTCTTGCACCCTCTTTGACAAAACCTGAGTTGAAAAGAGACTCTTCGGTGAATCACCTGTTTTGATTATCTAAATGTCCCATGTGCGTCGTTGGCACAGCGTTACAGTGCTCCCCTACCATTCAGGTGGTCCAGGGTTCGATCCTCGCCCACCGACGCACTCCTTTACCTCTCTAAGCCACTAGTAAGACTGGTAAAGAGGGAAAGTTGGGCATGAGGCTAGCAACTCCATCCTGTAAAAATAAAAACCACTACTACAGAAACTTCAAGTCTGTAGCTTGTTGTCCTATTGTGGTGAGAGCTGGCTTCTAGCCAAATTGGTAGACAGTAATTTGCGTCAATGTTTACGTCCCCAATATTGGTCATGAGAAAAATAAGAACAAAGACTGACTGAACAACTGATCACAGCAGACTTTGCGTAGACGGGTACAATTTGCAGATAGATAATCTAAACTTCAAGAAACGGCCACAAAGAGATGAAAGATTAACGTTCGGCGAGAAACCACCAGTCAGAAGACTGTGTTTGTTTGTTTGCAATAATCTATAATGATGTACATAAAAATCCATAAATATCTGTTGATTTCCTAAATAAACGACCTGTTGCCTGGCCCTTGTCTTCTGTTGTTACACTATGTCCCACTAGGAACGTAAAGGAAAAAAACAAAAAGGTGTTCCATAGGGAATTTACCACGAATTAAATGTATGGTATATATTATCAGAATACTATTCAATAAAGACGTAATATTTTCATTGTAATTTCAATTATAATGAACACTAAAGCCTAAACAGAAAATATTAAAATTATATTTTTTTCTTCATTTTCCTTCTTCCAACTTCTCTTACTTTTCAGTGGTATGAATCTGATACTCCTGAAAGTACAACAATACCAGGAAGTTATGAAGAAAAATTGGATAGATTTCAACGTCTCTGCTTATTACGTTGTTTTCGAGTGGATAGAATCTATCGTGCTATTACACTGTATATAGCTGATATCATGGGTGAAGACTTTGTCAGTCCACCAATATTAAGTTTTACAACAATTTATGAACAAAGCACATCAAGATCTCCTATCGTTTTCATTCTCAGTCCAGGTTCAGATCCAACAGCTGATTTAATGAAATTTGCTGAAAGACAAAATTTCGATTTCAGTCGAATTAAATTCCTCTCTATGGGTCAAGGTCAAGAGAAGAATGCTGAAAGTCTCCTTGAATTGTCAATTTCTCGAGGGCATTGGTTAATGTTACAAAATTGTCATTTATTAGTTAAATGGTTACAAGTGTTGGAAAAATATTTAGAAAAATTAACAAAACCTCATCCAGATTTTCGTTTATGGTTAACAACAGAACCGTGTGATTCATTCCCGATTGGTATTTTACAACGTTCACTAAAAGTGGTCACTGAACCACCAAATGGTTTAAAATTAAATTTACGCGCCACTTATCATAAAATAGCACCATCCGCTATGACTGAATGTACGCATACAGCATTTCCTTCACTAGTTTATACACTGGCATTCTTTCATGCTGTTGTACAAGAACGTAGAAAATATGGTAAAATTGGTTGGAATATCGGGTATGATTTTAATGAATCTGATTTTCGTGTTTGTATGCAAATATTAGTCACATATTTACAAAAGGCTGTAGACGAAAATGAAGTGAAAATTCCATGGAATAGTTTAAAATATTTAATTGGTGAAGTAATGTATGGTGGACGAGCTATAGATGAATTCGACAGACGTATTCTACGCACTTATATGGATGAATATTTTGGTGATTTTATTTTCGATACATTTCAACCGTTTTATTTTTATGCTAATGACAATTTCCAGTATGCTATACCGAGTGGAACTACACGTGATGAATTTAGTCGTAAGTTTCTGTGTCGTTAGTTAGTTCTTTTATTTAATGACAATATATTTTGACAAACAGAAGTCATAATTGAAAATTGAATATTTTTTGTTTGTTTAAATTCTATCAGATGACATTTTGAATTGTTGGAAAATGATACGTGTTGGATATGTCTCTCTCTTTTTCTTTATTCCTTTACGTTCCCAGTGGAACATAGGGCTTCAAGCTAGAGGCTTGAAGTTTCGGTAGCAATAGTGTTTACATTTTTACTGGATGAGTTTGCTAGCCTCATGCCCAACGTTGCCTCTTTACCAGTCTAATTTTACTAACTTATTGAGGTAAAGGAGTGCGTTGGCTGGGGATCGAACCCCGAACCACATGCGTGGTGGGCAAGTATTCTACCACTGCACCACCGACGCACATATGTCTCTCTTACCTTAGTTTAACAGTTGTTTATATTTGTTAGTGCGCGTAGATCTTTTTTTAACCGAATCTTCTATTTCAAGTTTGACATTTACAAGTTCATTATAGTATCTAGGTGTATACGCCAGCCATCTTCACACTTTGAAGCAATAGTAACTTCAGAAATGTGTGATTTGTGGCCTTACTCCAATGAGCGACAAAAGTAATGGAGATAATGCCCAACACCTATTTGGGCTTATCAGATAAACGGATGGTCAAAAATTTACAGTAATTGAAGTGGTCTCCAAGATAGATGGAACTTGAATTACTTTTCCAAAAAAGAGATGAACGGAACGTTTGGCGAAACATTTTGGATAGAAATTCATCTGACCTACAAATACACAACAGTTGTCCACCATCTAACACGCATATGGGATGATATAGGGATTGGTGAGGCCGTAGAAGCTGTTTCACTGATGTGCAGAGGTCATGACTATCTGACCACGGGGTCTTTGAGGCTCTAAGAACCTATCGCACGAGACTGTTGTTAACATGTGGTGAGAGCTGTCTACTAGCCAAATGGGTAGACAGTAATTTACGTCAATATTTACGTTCCCAAGATTTGTCGTGAGAAAATGTGAACAAAGATTGATTCAAAACCGACCACAGCAGACTTTGCGTAGGCGGATGCAGTTAACATATAGAGGATTTGACATTCAAGAAACAGTCACAAATAAATGAAAGATTAACTTTACGTGAGAAACAACCAGTCGGAAGACTGTGTTTGTTTGCTTAAATATCCATAGTAATGTACATGCAAATATATAAATATGCGTTGATTTCCTTAATAAATGATCTGTTGCCTGACTCTTGCCTTCTGTTGGTACAAACATGGCTGAAAATCATTCTCAGTGATTCAGATGCATCGACTCTCTATGTACTACCAAATCCCAACACTAAAATTAGTATATCGCCATCCAAAATCGTGAGACCACAAATATATAGACAGGAAATCAACTGATACATCTGTTCACCGATCTGAGTTACACCAGTGACTTGATATTGTTGTGATTTATTCGCCAACCAAGCCAACTGAAAGTTACAGAATTTTCATCATGAGCTGACATTAGTTAGAGAACCATTGGAAAACCTGGGAGTACTGGAGAGCTGCTTCGTCCTAGTTTGGGACTCTTCACAGTACGCACCCACCGGGATTCGAACCCAGGACCTTCAGGCTACAAGGCGAGCTACCTCGTATACTATTAAGCCACTGGGACCCGATCCAATGGCTCATGAATTCTAACTTCTGCCAATTCACGACATAGCGCGTCCCCTAGCCAATGTCTTCGGCGAGTATTTGTCCTCACACCCGACCTGCTGCACCCTACTGGTCACGACTTCTCACTAGAACCCCAGGTAACTACCTACCTACATAGGGCAAGTCGCTTGTGAGCATCAGAATAATAATTATTAAACTAGGACGAAACAGCTGTCCAGTATTCCCAGGTCTTCCAATGGTTCTCTAACTAATGTCAGCTCATGATGAAAATCCTGTAACCAATCAAATCCCTACAAACCAACACTTGAATACCAATTGAAAGTGTTTTGCAGATTGTCCTGTGCGGTTGAATTTTTTTGAAATTATTTCACTTCCTTAACATTCTTACATGAGAGTGAAGTGAATTATCAACATAGAGCTTAGAAAAGGTTACCACATTTTGAAAACGCCCACAATAGTACAGTAGATATGTGTAATGAAACTCTGACAGACGAAAGTCTAATAGGGAAAGAATAGTCAGGCAAAAGTTAGTAAAGATTTTAGGAATCTGGAAAGTGACAAGGAATAAGTGCATGTGCTTGAATGCCATGGACTTTAAGCTATGTCACCAACCATCTCAAACCAAAAGTAAGAGACTTCATGTGTCGGTGCTTAGTTTCTATCTCACCACCTTTAACTCATTTATAATCTAGTTCTAGTTCAGATGATTTCGCTCGTCAAGGAAAGCGGTGGTTCGGCACTCTTCACAACCCCATCCATTGACTTAACCTCAGTGCCTGAGGTTCTACGCTTAATTCTATTATTCCTGAACATATTGATCCACTTAACATGGGAAATTGAATGGAAGCACCTGTGGTCTAAATTCCACTGATCTTCTAATATCCTCAAATGTCAGCAGGTATCTGTGAAAGTCATAAAGTAGGACAGGATGAACTGCTATAAAGTGTATATGCTTGTGTGATAGGTGTTTGAATGAAACCCATGTGACAAAGAGGATTGAGAGGGGCCAACGCCAAGAACTAGCCGTTTGTATCTAAGCTGAGATTTCGTCAGGAATCAGTCCATTAAGGCTGATGCAGCTTCCCTAATACATGATTTGGTTAACACATTCAGCAATTTCAGTCCTTGTCGTCAAACCTGGAGTTACTACAGACCAGATTTGAAGCATCATCTTATGTAAAACTCAAGAATTATTCTTACAGTTTTAATATCATTTTGCAGTTAGGCAGATTTCGTCCAATCAAACGTATATAATTACTAAAAAGACAGTTGCAGCGAAGAAAATTTTCTTTTCGACGAAGTCATCAACTAAGCTGTACATTCGTGTATTTATCACCAATGGAGGGGACAGTTCCAGAATAATTTCCCGTCAAGGGTCAAATTAGTAAGATTACAATTAGGAATTGAAATGCCATAATAAACAGGGGGACGGTAGCATCATAATTACTGAGAAGATTGACATGTTGTGCAATGGGGGGTTAGAAATGTAGAAATAACAAAAATAGACAGGATGTTAGGATAAAAAATCTAGTGGGATCATAACTAATGTGACGAATAATTGTTTATGCAATCAGGGATTAAATATGTAGAAATAATAAAATGACAAAATAAACAGGAGGTTTGGATAAGAATGGCAATAGGATGGTCATTACTAACAGAATTACCTGTTTATGATGGCCATGGCAGGGACAAGGGCTGGACGTATTTCTTCTGGATACATAGCTTGGGTTTGAGCTTTTGGATAGCTAGTGCCTTGGTTATGCCCTGATGTCTTAATTTTACTCCCTTTGATAGGTTTGATCGAAACTTGTAAATTATTTTGAAGGATTTTTGGAATGGCGCTGAATGTCCTGAATTGACTAGGTGTTCTGTCACTGAACTATATACACGTTTTCGATCTAATTTTATGAGCCAGGCTAGAGAGTGTTCATGAGCACGCTTTTCAAGTTGGCGTGTGGTACGGCTGATGTACTCAGCTCCGCAAGAGCAAGTAAACTGGTATATGCACGTTGAAGTGGTTCAATGTAATAGCTTGTCTTCCGCGTTCTGGCTGAACAGTTTCTTGCAGGCAAACGTCAGTCATAGGCTCGCGAAGAAGCATGTTTTCCTCAGAGATTTGGAATTCGGCGTTTACGAAGGATTTCTTCTTCAATGTCACCTTTGAATCCTATATTAAGCAGAAGTACTTTCTTTGGAACGGATTGAACTTGTCCGAATGTCTTCTTTGATTTGAGATTCTTGTCTATGAACCTGGGCGAATGTACAGCCTAGTTGACGACTTCGTCGAAAATAAAATTTTCTTCGCTGCAACCGTCTTTTTAATAATCCCTATGATCCAAAGTGTATATAATTACGTTTAATTTTGTTAGTTTTAATTTATTATCATTGTTATTGTCATTATTAATCTAGGTTATATCGAGTCCCTTCCGTTAACAAATACTCCTGAAGTGTTTGGTCTTCATTCCAATGCAGAAATAGGATATTATACAAATGCAACTAAAGAGATTTGGAGTCATCTACTTGAATTACAACCGCAAACAAGTAGTCAAACAAATTCAACGAATAGAGAAGAATTTCTTAGTCAGATAACTGATGGTTTACTAGGCAGCCTTCCACAAGTATTTGATAGAGAAGCTTTAAAAAAGAAATACGGTGTTAATATACAACCAATTACAGTTGTACTATTACAGGTTAGTAAATTTTCTAAATGGCATTTTTTTAATCAAATTCACAATTTGAAAATTAATTTGCAGTTTACACAGTTCAAGGGGATGAAATTTCGAACTTTCCGGTTATAAAGCAAGCTGGTAGACCATTGAGTCATTGGGGGACATAGTTTAAAGCTCCGAGGGTGCGCACTGATGAGGAGTCGCAAACTACAACGAAATAGCTGTCCAGTGCTCACTGCTGATTTTCCATTGGTTATCTAACCTCTGTCAGCTCGTGATGACATCCTGTAACCAGTCAGTCAAATCCCTGAAAACCAACCGCTGAACATTTATCTTTTTATTGTTTTGTCTGTTTAATTTGAGAATAATATGATTTCCTCAGTAGCGAAGATTATTTTATATTTTCGAATTAAGAATAATAATTATTCTGATGCTCACTAGCGACTGGTCCTATTCAGGCAGTTAACCTGGGGTCCTAGTGGAAAGCTTTAAGCAGTAGGAGACAGCAGGTTGAGGCAGGTGACTCAGTAACTCATTGAAGAAGACATTACAAGTTGGTCGCACTGTGTCATGACTTGGCAGAAGTTGGAATTCATGGGCTGGCCATTGGATCTGGTCCCAGTGGCTTAATGGTCTATGAGTTCACTAGCCTTGTAACTGGAAAGTCTTCG